TCTACACATGCCCGTTGCTCTTTATTGATTAATGCAATAGTAGCATCCGCCAAAAGAAAAACTATTATTTACCCGAGTTCAACGATCACGCATGACGCTCACTGCGTGACAGCCTTTTTTTCCCTTACAACGCAGTACTATTAATATAAAACATGTGGAGATGGGGGAGGGGTGGTTTTAAAGAGGAACCAGGACACACCAGAAAATATATATATATATATATGAAGGGCCTGTATCTACTATCTATGGGAAAATGTCATCCCCCGTTTTAACGCATTCCGCATGGGCGGGCACAGGTGGAGTCGCTAGAGTTTTACTGACACCAGAGGGATTTTTGTTTGTTTGGGTGGGGGTGGGGGTGGCCTTTATTTTCGGCTTCTATTTAAGGAAAATTAAATTACACAAATAAATCACATAAATCATCAGCTGTATAAAGCTAGTGAAGTGGACCGTAAGGGGCCCCCTTCAAAATATAGCTGACCAGTGGCTTAGCTAGGGATTTGGGGGCCCGGGGGTCTTGGCCTCTTTAGGTGGCCCCTGCATTTTGACATTCGACGTTATTTATTGTAAAAAAAAATAATTCGGACACTTCTTTGGGGGCCCCGCTCAAGTAGGGGCCCGGGTGGACTTTCGAATTTGGACCCCCCTCCCCTAGCTACGCCACTGTAGCTGACCCCCTAGGTGGACTACCCCTCCACCCTCTCCTCATACCGCGGCCATGGGTGTGTAAGTGTGTCGCAAAGTTGACAGTTAGTCTTCCCTTCACTCGACCCGAGATTTCCCACACGATGACCGTAGTTGGTTTGAACCCGGTCGCACGTTACTGCATACAACAGGTCCATAGTTTTCATTGGACCGTGACGGTGGGAGTTTAAAAAAAAAATGAAATATTCACATGCCGGCTTTTAAATCTAATACATTACTAAAAATTAATACAATTGATGAAAGAGATCACCTATTTTTTTATTTATATATCTACTGGTACTAGAATATATCTATGTTTGAAAAGAAAAAAAATAATAAAAAATTGCGAAACAATTAGTAAATTTTTAAGTTTCTAAGAAAATAAAAACCAAAAAAGATAAAATAATAAAAGCAAGAAACGAACAATATTAAAAAAAAAAAACAATAACTAGGTTATGAAAAAAACATGAGTAGTTTACCTTTTCTTGACAGCAGACGGACTCTATCCTAAGTTCTTGTTTGAAGTTGAGCGACAACACAAGGGTGGGCTTGAGGAGACAATTACTTAGCTAAACTTCGGTGCTTGGATATGTTTCCTGTCCCTTGACGTGCAGCTTCTAAACGTGGTCTACGTTTTTACTGCGGTTCTGCTCAACTCGAGGGGCGCTAAAGAATGGCCTGGCGTTGTCGGGGATTACATATACTAACGGCACCTCCCACAGAGATCTTTTGTGTCGAACTTCCCACATCCGTTCCTCCCCCAACCCCCCCACCCCGCGTTATCAACCTCTCCCCCCCCCCTCTTCCCCGTACCTCACCCATCCCATCACGGGTATCCCACCACAAAAATTATTTTTTCACCCCCTCAATCACGGCTTACCCACCCCCCACCACCCTTACCCCCACCCCCAACTCTCCCACCACTTGAACCCTCACATTGGTCCCAACTTAAACCTGCTCCCCACAGCCACCATTTCCCCCCTCCCCTCCACCCTCACTCTCCCCAGCCCCCAAATCCCAAGAGCCCTACTCGATCGTGCCCCAACAACTATGGGGCTGAATGGCGTAAGTGTATCATGTATACAAACTAGAGTTAATTCCTTTTTCATTTCTCCCACACCCCCAACAGGACCCCGGACCCCCAAAACGGACTCCCCCCCCACCCCCCCGACCTTTTGTTTCCTCATGATGCTCGCGTCGCGCCGGTCCCATCTCCGTGGACACAAAGCGCGCCCAGCGACCAATGAAGGAGCTGTTCTGATGAAGAGCAGGCCGGCCGCGAGTGACATGGTCTGTGACGCTTCCATTTGGCGAAAATGATTCCATTAAGGCGAGTCTAATAAACCCCCCCCCCTATCATCCCACCCCGGGGGCACAGCGATGGGGACATAAAGAGCAACAACAAAAAGGCGTCTTGAAACCAAAAAAAAAAAAAAATGCCTTTGCTCTCTTGGAGATACGTATGCCAGATATCTGTACAATCAGCGAGACAGCTGTTGAGGGCATTTACATACCCCCACTTCCAAATTAACATTCTTTTTTTTAGAGATTAAACATTTCTTAATGCGCATCTAGAAATGAATGTTTTAAAGAAAAAAGTAATGAAAAAAAAAAATAAAAGCAACAACAAATCTAACAACGAATTGTTGACGTCATTGCGCTTCAGATGATCCAACCAAATGCTTAAAAGATTAAATAAATTATTGGAAAATGAAAGAACAATAAAAGAAACAAGTTATATTCACTTGCGTATTTAAGACCGGTCTGAGGTTATTTGACTCATGAGCGTAATCGTTGTTGAAAGCTCTTTCAGGCTTTAGGATCGCTGGGATGCTAGATGGTTGGGATGGTAGATCGATGGGATGGTTGATCAATGAAATTTAAATGATTTGGATGGCAGATCATAGGCCTGACAGTTCATGGAGTGTTAAACCTTTTGGGGTGGTAATAAGTGGGATGTTAGATCCATATGAAAGCAGAAGAATAGGATGGCAGAGGTATCGTTTGCCAGGTAAATGCCAGGTAATGGAGGTGGTAAATTATGTGGATGGTAGATCAAAGAGTTGCCAGATGATTGGTATGAGACGTAAATGAGAAGGTAGATCTTTAGTGATGTCAAGTCAATGGGATGGTAGATCTTTGGTGATGGTAATCAATGGGATGGGAGATCTTTGATGATCCCAAGTCAATGGGATGGCTCATAATTCATCTAGCAAACATTTGAAATGGTAGGCCCTAACAGCAAAAAAACAAAAAAAAATAAAAGTTCTTATCACCTACCTTCGTACCTATTTACCTACCTATCTACCAAATACATACATACCTACCCACCTACCAATCTACCTTTCTATCTACCTTCCTACCTTTCTACCGACCTAAAGCCCTCAAACATACCTACCTATCTATCTACCTACCCATCCAACCACCTACCTACTTATATACCTACATACCTACCTACCTAACTAACAAACCCAACTACCTATGGCCCAAAATAGTTTTGATTGTGCAGAACGGATTCATCTTTATGTAGATCTAAATGCAAATCATTATTTGCCCTTCATGACCTCAATCTGATATTTTATGTGAATCAAACGGGATTCGGAACTTTATTGTGTTAGTGGCAGTCAGTCTTAATCTTGATTATGGAACCATGGAAATGTGAGTATTTGAAAAAAAAAGGGCTCTAACAATGTAAAATGGGGCCATGGTAGGTCACATAGTTGCGTGAGTGTTTTCCTGGCCACCTGAAAGGTAATGTCTCTAGCCATCTGAAGGCGATGTCTCTAGCCATCTGAAGGCGATGTCTCTTGCCATCTGAAGGAGATGTTTCTTGCAATCTGAAGGCGGTGTCTCTGGCCATCTAAAGGTGATGTTTCTTGCCAACTGGAGGAGATGTTTCTGGCCATCTGAAGACAGTGTTTTTGGCCATCTGAGGTTGATAACCTGTCCCGCTGAAGGTGCTTTCTTAGCAATTTGAATATGTCAAGGTTTTCTGATGAATTTTGTGGACTCTTATATTTAATACAATTCTGTTATTTCAAGGCAACCAATGTGGGCAAAATCTCTTGTTTGAAAATATATGTCCTACGAGATGCTACGTTGAACTGGGTGAAAAGTATTGAACCAATCTATTTAGCCCCATTCTTAGCGTCTAAAACCAACACATTGGAAGACTAAAGAAGGCTATTTATACACAGACATAACATTTAATGTAAAATTTCCAACATGCATAAGAGCGTTCTTAAGATCTGGTGTATCGTGTAAAGTATCATTGCTTATCATCCCATCGAGAGATCCAGTTTTTTGCAAGGTTAAGTGGAGGTGCCACACGAGGAGACAGCTGTGGTCGAGTGGACAGCTATCGTCAAAGGCGTCGCCATCTCTATTTTTTAAGGTCCCTTTAAAAGAAGACATCATAAAGATATTTAATTATTTTTTCTCCAAAAAAATTTTAAGGTGGAGACTTTGTAGAGCAACATATTACAATATTTAACCACCTTACAGATCTTTACATTTTATTCTCATAACAGATGAAGCACAACTTGAATCTATTTTTCCATTCAAAAACTTCCCAGTACAAAGTTAATATATTCCGATATTTGTCGGTTTGTTTGTAGCAGAAATTATTTGAAATGTTTTATTGGTTTTCTGGACGATTTATCGATTGCGAGATCTTTGGATTGTGATTTTAGAGTTTCAGAAGATTTTTGGATTGTTATTTTAGAGTTTCAAGAGATTTTTGGATTATGATTTTAGAGTTTCAAGAGATCTTTGGATTGTGATTTTAGAGTTTCAAGAGATCTTTGGATTGTGATTTTAGAGTTTCAAGAGATTTTTGGATTGTGATTTTAGAGTTTCAAGAGATCTTTGGATTGCGATTTTAGAGTTTCAAGAGATTTTTGGAGCGTGATTTCAGAGTTTCAAGAGATTTTTAGATTCTGATTTTAGAGTTTCAAGAGATCTTTGGATTGTGATTTCAGAGGTTTAAGAGATCTTTGTTAGTGATTTCAGAGTTTCAAGAGATCTTTGGATTGTGATTTTAGAGTTTCAATAGATTTTTGGAGCGTGATTTCAGAGTTTCAAGAGATTTTTGGATTCTGATTTTAGAGTTTCAAGAGATCTTTGGATTGTGATTTCAGAGGTTTAAGAGATCTTTGTTAGTGATTTCAGAGTTTGAAGAAATCTTTGGTTTGTGATTTCGGAATTTCAACTGTGGTCTCCAGCACACCAAACCCCCACCCCTAAAGTACAGACGATACTCCGCCGCTGGATTCCCAACCGCCCTTCCCCCTTAAAAAAACTAGTGTCAAATATTCAGTACAAAACCCTGATATTAGATGACCAGACCGCAGCTCCAAATGATATCACTAAAACAAAACTCCAAGTATACCTTATGGCTTCCTAACCTCAAATTCTACTTAACCAACATGGGCTCGAAATTGATTAGCGTTATTGTGTTTATCGCTGTCGGTACGGGTAAGTACAGATTAGGAGCTCCTGGATATGAACTGCATTAAAAAGAAATATAAATACATTTTACTTTTTAAAAAAAAATCTCATTAATATATAGATTTTGTTCCATTTTTAAAATAATTTCATCTTTAAAAAAATAAAAAATATGTTTGTTTTTAGTTTTCCTTTGTCATTTTATGAAATTCTTATTTTACTAGCTATAAACGCTGGCGTTGGCCAAGCGTGAATTTCCCATCTGACCAAAACATGTATTCAAGTAACGCACTCAACAAGATTTTTTTGCACCCCCTCCCCCCCCCCCCAATCACCCCCCAAGGTTTTTAACCGTAAGCTTCTTTTTTCACACCGCTGAACTAAATTTGATTTTATCATGCCCCGCCCTCTTTTAAAGAGCTCATTCATTTGTACATCATTTTTCAATTGCGACTGTTAAGGATTTTAAAAAAAAAGAAAAGAAATATAACTCAGCAAACGCACTTGCGGTAATTTTAAGAATGTCATTTAGCGCGGTTATCAGGAATTTGATCTAGTGGAATCGATGCCTTTTGGTAGCGTGAACGTCATGGTTAGTTAGAGAATTATGTATTTTGATTGTCGTTAATGTGTCCTAAAAATGTCGTAACCGCCACATATTCGCAGCTAAATGACAGAAAATTACAGATCTTTTAATCAGATCCTTTTTTTTTTGCCAACCTGAGTTAGACAAAAAATGTCCTCTGTCACTACATCTAGAGCAAAGACATACCAACCAATCTTTATTCTATCTCTCCCCCCCCCCCCCAAATCTTCCGTGACACAGTCGATGGCCAGCTACTGACAGCCAACCCGGGGAACATTACAGCCGGGTTTACCACGTCACTGGTCGTAAACTGTACGGTGACCGCAGGACAAGATCCCAACCTGGCGAGTGTAGTGTCCCTGACCCTCTCCAGATCAAAGGTCACGCAAAATCCCGTGTACACCCCGGTGGTGGCCGTGGACAGTTTCACGGGAACGCCAGGAAGTTCTGTGGACCAAAACGCAGTGGCCACGGGTAAAATAGACAACACCGGGGTATCCTACCTGAGCGTCAGGTGGACGAGTCCAACGGTCGACCAGGCTGGGCTGTACAGGTGCGAGCTGAGTGGGCTCAGCCAGACGGGGCAACCTTTAATCTCTGAAGCTTCCGTTGAGGTTTCTGCCTCAAAGCTTGGCGCGGACCTGCTGGTGGACCTTGTGCTTAACCTGAGCGCAACGGTGGAAGCGCTAAAGACCATTGTAGGTAATGTATGACGTTTGAAATGACGACTAAGATGGAAGTGCTGAAGGCATTTATAGATTAAATATGGTGCTTAAAATTAGCGCTACTGTAGGAGTGCTGATGACAGTTATAGGTTAAAGCTGGTACTTAAAATGAGAGCTCGTGTAAGAGTGCTAAAGACAGTTATAAGTTACATCGTTGTGCTTGAAAGGAACGCTGCGCGTCCAGTGCTAAAAGTTAATTAGTTGTAATGATGACAGTCGATGAAGACTGGCCATTGGTTGTTTAACTTAAGGTTTCATTCTGTTTAAGTACCAAATCCATAATTAATAACTCACGAATAAGGAAATGGAAATAAAAGAAATAAAGGAGAGAAACATTTTATAACTGAACATAACCAAAATAGCTTTGTGAACATGTGTTGTCCAGTTTTGTTCAAAAATGTACACTTAATTTCACACCTCCCACTAAATTAACGCTTCCAACAATGTGAATGTGTTTGTTGGTATCAACGAGGAGCGGAATTTCCCGTCCGCACCTCGGTGCGCAAAATTCTCATAGCCCAGCTTTGATCCAACGGTCATTCCGAAGACATTAGGCGATTCATTTTTTACAATGTCTTTGTAAACTAAATCTTAACTTTAGATTACATAAGATGCCAAAGAACCCAGCGTGACCAAATTTTAACATTGCTATCCCCCGGCCAGATTCCTACGAGAAGCGTCTGACCGAAACCAAGGACACCCTCTTCAACATCTCGGCCGTGTACGACGGACGGCGCTACTTGGTCTCCAAGCAGAATCCCGTACTCTCCACACCGAACGCCCAGGCCGCGTGTCAGACCTACGGCGGGTACCTCGCCAAGGTCAACAGCACCGAGGAGCACAACTTCATCAGGGACTTTCTCGACGAGTCGTTCGGGTTCGTCCTGATCCTCATCGGCAGCATTTACCACGGGGACGAACTATACGACTCCATCGAGCGATTCGCTGTGTGGGAGCTGCACGACTACCCTCCCTTCGACTCGTACTGCGCCTTTCTGCACTACGAGACCAACTGGAACCTGAGCACGTTCGACTGCATGATGGTTAACGACAGGCAGAAGCCAAGGTTTTTGTGCGAGGTGCCCGAACAGTAGAGCTGGTGCGCAGCGTAACAACAGAGTTGGTGTGCAATGTTACACTATCACGTGAATATTATTATAACTTATAATAAATAACTATTATTAACAGCAACCCGAACGTTTCCAATGATAATCTTAAAAAAAAAAAATTTAAAAAAAAAAAAAAAAAAAAAAAAAAAAAAATTAAAAAAAAAAAAAAAAAAAAAAAAAATTA